GCGTAGCACATCTGGCCCTGTTCAGGAACACTTTGCGGAGAAGATGGTTTTCACCACTGCTGACCCATTCCCGACAATTCTTCGCCGCAGCGAAATTGTGCACACTGAAGAGATCAAGCTCAGTGCCCGCCAGACCGGTTTAGAGCGGATTGTAAGGAAGACGCAGGAAATGACAGTGATCGAGAAGCGGATTACTGAGGGCGACGAAGAGAACGCACAGCTGCTAGTGGACGCAGTAAGTGTGTCGGTCAACCCAGACTCGGAAAATAGCGTCGCTTGTTATCGCCAATTACTGCCGTCCCGCGCGGAACCCGAGGATGACGAGGACGATGTGCTGGAAGAAGAAGAAGAGGCAGAGCCTAAGCTTGACCCTCAAGACAACGCGATCAAGATGGCGCTCGTAGACCATGCGATCATGATCAAGCGGTGCCTGGCAACCTTCTCTAGAAGTACGAACGAAATCCTCAACGAAAGGCACGAGGAACTTCAACGATGTAAGTATTTTGTGCTCATGCCCATGACCTCCTATCTGGCCGTCTCAAGCTAATACGCCACAGACTTTGAAAGCACATTTGCACCTGAGATTGCTCTCTTCGCACCTCAGCAGCCGTCCCGGGAGTCTGCCAATGCTTCACCGACTTACAGACGGTCGTCGCCATCTACCGAACAAGTATCGCCCCAACCGCAGAGCATTGCTGGTGCCATGACGAACGGAGTCGCTGTCGAAGAAGTATCGACGGTCCAACCGGTTGCCATCCGCCAAGGCCGTGGCACGCGCCTGAGCTTCTTGGGAGGCCGTAAGAAGGAATCCCCAGTGTTACAACAGACGAACAGCGACCCTCAGGCAACCCCGGAAGCAGAGGACACCGTCAGCCACCGCAGCCGAAGCTTTAGCAAGACACATGACAACGTGACCATCACGAGCAACGCCAACCGTCGCAGCAGCTTCTTCCGAGCTCCGTCCAGCGACATACCGCGGATTCTAGGCAGTAACGATGCCACCAGCGAATGGGTAACGGATTCGGGCGGACGGCGCAGCTCAGACGCGGGAACGAACTTGACAGAGAAGGAGCGGGAGTACAAGGACGAACGGCCTGTGGACGGACTTGGCATCGTCAAACGTGGAAGCGTCAGAAAGAGGCTCAGCATGCTGAAACTTGGTAAGAAGTCTGCTAAGGGTAACGGTACCATGGTCAGCGTGCACGAGGAGTAGGACTTCATGGCAGCGGCCGAGCAGCTTGGTTACATGAACAAGACGACGGGCGAATGGCAATACGCGGTGTCATGATGATGCCACAAATGTAGGGGAGCATCTGCTTGGTTCTCAGGGGCAGGTCCACGGCCGTCACGAAGTGCTTCTCCGTGATTGCATTCGAGATGTCTATACTTTTTTCACTGGCTTTTTGCGATTTGTACAGACGGGGAACGGTTGGCGGGATGGTGTTCTGGACATGTATCTGTAGGATCCCCCCTCATCTGCAAGGCGACACAGCGCCGCAGATGCAGCTCATTTTTTCAGGTTCTGTTTGTGAATAATACCTGGTCTCACACCACGTGTGTGTAAAACCCCAAAATACTCTGAACCACACCACACCACGACCGTGTGTGTCTTACTGTCCCTGATATCGCGGATCCTCATCTCTAGCGGTTTCCCGGATCATCTCTGATCTACATCATCGCGACTAACCCAAATACGCAACAGCATGCGTTTCCACATGAGATTCGGCGGCGCCAACCCAAGCGTTCCAATTATTCATTCCACCATGGTGGCACTCTGTCGTAATAGGCCGTCCCTGCACCTGCGCGGCAACGTCCCCGCCGCGGTGCACAGTCACGACAACCTCACCAGTCCGGCCATTAAACGGCGCGCTGCCGTGATACACGCCCACACCACCACGCGCGGGGACGCCATCATCCTCGTCCCAGCCAGCCTCCTCGGCGATGCCACCCACGCTCACGGTCACCTGTGCGGGACCCGTCAGCAGTGCAGAGAAGACGATCTTGTCCTCCATAATCTCGGACGGGTGGAAAAGCTCCTGGCCGTGGGAGGAGGTGTTGCCCGTCGTGCCGCCGGCGTCGCCTGCGTGGGCCGGGTGGAGGCGGTACCAGGTCACGAGGCCTTCGCGGCGGACGGTGGCGGTGCCGTATTTGTAGAGGTCGATGAGGAAGGGGAGGAGGAGGCGCCAGCCGTCGTGGGGCATGTCGCGGACGTAGTTGAAGGGGGCTTGGCCGTATTCGAAGGCGCCGAATTGTTTTTCGTGGAGGGGGCCTATGTAGTGCGATTCTCCAAAGTCGTTCCAGGTGAGCTATGTTGTATTGTGGTCAGTATCTGATCACTGTGCTTTGTTTTCCGTTTTCTTTCACATCACGGACGGTTGCGTCACTCACAATCTGCACATATTCAGGCCTCATGGCCAAAATCTCATTCCACCGATCGTTCCACAGATCATCCCCCTTCCACGCCCAGTTCTTGTTCCAAGTGGGCAGGTTGGTGTAGAACCAGGGGGAGACGGCGACCATGTAGGGCCGGTGGGGACCTAAAGCGTGGCGGTACGATGCGTCGAGCCCTTCGTCCATCTTGCGCGCGTTGCCGTGGGGCCAGGCGGCCCAGCTGAAGAGGCCGTCGGTGACGCCCGTCTTGAGGGCGTTGTCGGCGCCGATGGAGGAGAAGGAGGGGATGAAGAAGCAGTTCGTCGCGGCCTTGATCTCGTGCCAGTCGGCTGCGTTGCCGACGCCTTCAAAGGTTGAGACGATGGGTTGGTGGCCGCGTTTGAAGTAGGCTGGTGAGGGGCCGAACTTTTGGGGTTCGAGGATTAGCATTACAGAAGGTTTTTTTTGTTGATTGGAAGTGTCGGGAGTTTGAGACGTACTCTGCTGACGATTTCAATGACGCGTTCCTTGGGCCATGCTCCTGCTCCTTCGTAGTCAAAGGATAAAAGAAGCTTGAAGCCCGTCTGCTCCGCGGCGGCGAAGACGTCGGGCAGCCTCACGATGGCTTCCTCATGGATACCAAAGTTTAGGACAAAGGCGTCAATGTGGGCTTGCTGGGCTAGGCCGATGTCGACCTTGTACTCGTCGACAGTGTATTCGCAGGTATTGCTCAGCTGGTCGTTGTGTGTCAGTTTTACATTACATCTCAAAGTGTGGTGTTGAGGAGGCCTCCGGATGTTACGAACCATGAAATGAGCGAATACCGCTCGCTCGAACCCCTGATGCGGCGGTTGAGGGGGGTAGTACTGCTGTTGCTGTTGAGGCTCATCATCGCCGGTGATGGAGGCGATTTCGGCCTCGATCTTTTGCTTTGCTTCCCTGAAGAATTTCCTCATGGTTGTGGGTTGCGGATTTGTGGTGTTTTGGGGAGTGAGAGGTGAGTCGAGTTGAGTTGAGCCCACTCCCCGCGTCAAACTCACTCACTTTCCAGGAGTGACGCGTGCGCCCGCTGCATCTACGGATACAAAAGCTCCAGTTAAATGACACGTGTGGTGGGATGGCGAAAGCTTTCAGACTTGGCGAACGATAGTTGCCATTTACTGCCCCATTACCTGCGTAACCGAGGGCTTAGCAGCATCCCGAGTTATCCGGACGATTGATCTTGGGGGCTAATGCATTTGGATGAGTTATCGGTGGTCAATCTTTCGAGGTTGGACGATGGTGGTGTGCAACTACTTACTTTTGCTACGATACTATACTGCAGGATTTCAGTTACTTACGGTGCGTTGCGTTGGTTCTGTTTAGCGGGTTGCAGGTTCTGAGTCGTGGTTTAAGTGCTAACGTTGAAGACAGCGGGTGAATCTGTTTGGAGTGGTTGCTATTTTTATCGCTGATCGACTGGGCGCAAGGAACATGGCTCGGCGCAACCGATTGGGAAGTAGGTACTACATATTGGTTGGCCGGAAAACAAAAGAAGAAAGAAAAGGCACATTGGATTGGCTCTGGGGCTGTTTCTTAGTTTTCCTTCTCGGAAATATGTCGCTGAATCAACTGAGAGAGAAAACCAGGTAGTCATTGATGTCTTTCCTCTTTAAACCCAGGTCTGTCTTTGTGTGCTGTCGACATAATGAGCTGGTTTTCTGCTTGCTGGTAGGAAAAAAGAAGAAAAAAAGTGAGCGATTCAATGACCAATGATCAATCAATGCTTAAACAGTTCGGTTTTGGCACCAGATGATGCTGCAGACAGTGGATGCTAGCAAAAGCAAAAGAAGATGTCCCTAGCAAGGCTCGAACTTGCGACCTTTGGATATCTCTAGATGATCTAGAGTCATATGTATTAATATGAGACCAACGCTCTACCGACTGAGCCATAGAGACTGTGGAAGTTGGAGATCTCGAAGCATAGGTTGACTAAGACCCGTAATGGTGGATACTGTGGGTCGAGCCCTCATGGTAAGGACGATTTATTGCACCTTGTGTCGTCTTGTGGATGGTCTCAATGGTACAGAATATCTAGACGCAAGGCAGACACGGGATGAACAACGATAAGGTTCGCTGATGGTTGGTTGAACTTTCAAATGCTGGTAACATGCTTTCACTCATAACAAACCAACTTGGCTAATTGGTCTCCTCCGATGCCGGAAAGCAAACGTTCCCGGCCGAACTGGGCATCCATCTCCGTGCACTAACAGGTGTACTTACAACGCAAAACCATTGCAATTCAGAGGGACCAGGAACTTTCCGAACAGACGTCCAGGGCTAACTCGTTCCCACGAATCTCCGCGCGAGATAACGGTAGCGGGGCCCTCCGGTACACCCCCTCCGTGCCCCCCTATTATTGTCCGAACCAACATCTCTGCGGACACTGAGTGCTGACACATACGGTAAACGTACCCCAGACTTTCCCGGACGACAGGTCTCCATGCTCGTTTACATGCTTTCAAAGGGTTGCGATATCTGACTCTCAACGTCTCCACTGTGCAGATCGGCGGTTCCGCGCCGTTGGACATTTCCTCTCTTTTTTCATTTCGTCTAGATTACACTGGTTTCTTTCCTCCCCTTCCCTCACAATGAGTGGTCAAAGAACCGGCAGCTCCCATCAGGCCAAACGCCCGCGACTCGGCGAGCGTACCATGTTGGCCTGCATCGGTTGCAAGCAGAAGAAACTCAAGGTCATATTCAAGTCTCTTTCATACAGAAACAGGACTGACTCATTCATAGTGCGACGGACAAAGTCCCAAGTGCCAGAACTGCGTGAGGACTGGACGAGGTAAGGTCCAAAGCGACATGAGACGGCATGGTGAACTTTAGCTAATGTGGGGAAACTAGACTGCCTGGTTGAAGACCCCGGCACCGGCTTGCATCGCCCGCGCGACTACATGAAGTCGCTGGAGGCCCGCGTTGCCTATCTCGAAGGTCTCTTACAGCAGGCCCGGCCTGAGGTCGCCCTCGATCACTTTGGTGCCAACAACGAGGGTGGTGGTCGTGATCGTGGTCGTGAAGTAGACCAGCACGCCAGCGCCACCGCCGCGTCGCACAACGGCGGCCCTACGCAACCAATGTCCATCATGCACATGCCATCTGCCCTCGCCCCGAACCTCCAGGCTCACCACTCGTCGTTCGAAGACGTCGACTTCTCACGGGCGCTGCGGGCGCCTTCTGTAGATGCAGATGATCACCATGTCGACACCTTGTCGTCAGAGGTTGCGCTGCTCTGCCTTAGTGCGGCCGGCCGAGAGCCGCATTACTTTGGTCCTTCTTCTGCTGTTTCCTTTTCGCGCATCGTCAGCGCTACCATGGGCCTTGCCAGCACTGGCGGAAGCTCACAGCATAGCCATGCAGGTCGCGGGAAGGATATCAACCCTGAAGTCGTCCGAGAGGTTCCATTGAGGTTACCGTCGCCGACTCTGAGGGCAAACTTGTCAGAAGCATACTTTAACAACATACATCCCCAGTACCCATTTCTTCACAAGCCGACGTTCCAGATTTGGGAAGAGACCTGCCTCAAAGCGAGTCTCGACGGAGATTTGAGCAGTGTTAACGGATCAACGCTTTTCTTCGTCTTGATGGTAAGCCGGAACTTTGGAGTGCTCATGATATGGCTGTGAGTTGACCGGCAGTGCTCTAACATGACTTATAGATTTATTCAATAGGGTCTTTAGTCCTTGGCCAAAGCCATTATGATGCTGCTGAGGTATGCTTTACCCTTTCGTGGGACTCGCGGGATTAGCGTCATGAGGAGCGAACAGTATTGACACAGGAGTCGGTAGGCTTACTATTCTATGGCATTGGATCACATCTCGGCAGTGTTGGACCTCGACAGCCTAGAATCCATCCAAGCCATACTAGCCTGTGCCGTGTATTCCATTAGATCACCTGTCGGAGTAAGCCTATGGTAAGTCACTGGCCTATTCATTGTTCCGGGGTCGTCTGATTGTTTCTAAGGAAGGTCTCCGGCATGGCTATACGCCATTGCATCGAGCTCGGCTACCACCGCAGTGCCGAGAGATATCACAGGAACACAGATGCATTAACCAAGGAGACGTCAAAAAGGTGTTTTTGGGTCGCGTATGACATCGACAGAGTCGTTGCCTTTACGTTAGGTCGCCCAGTCGGTATTCCTGACGACTCTATCGATGTTGAGGTAAAGCTTTTACCACGCTAAAGCCTGCAGCAACAGGCTATTTTCAATTATGCTAAGCAGGTCTCTAGTTACCCTTGGATATTGATGATGAAAATGTGACTTCGAGTGGACTCTTGTCAGCCTCACGAACATCCAGCACAGATCCGCCGACACTTATGACCGGCTTCATCCACGCCATAAAACTAAGGCGTCTGTGGACAAAGATTAGCGACAACCTATATCCCCCCACAACGCGACGGTGCGGCTGCGGGCACACAGCTACAATAGAGAGTCTTCGCCAAGAATTAGAGGAGTGGCGTGCAAAGACCCCCGATCAGCTGAATTACTCAAGGGCGCACCCGCTGTCGGTCTTCACCTCTCGCTCCTGGTTCCAGCTCGCCTACGACCACTCGATCCTATTGTTGTACCGCCATTACATGATGGGTGGATTACCCGCAAATCACCCCACACCAGATGGTACTGGCGGCGGCGGCCACGGAGCAACCCTCAACGACAACGAAGCCACGGAGCGGGTGCTGGAAGAGTGCGCGGTGCGCGCGCGGGAGATGTGCATGCTCTACCGCCGCGTCTATCAGTCCTCCTCGGTTCAGTTCACCTGGGGCAGCCTGCACATCCTCTTCCTCGGCGGGCTGACGTACCTCTACTGCTTGTGGCGCTCCAAGCGCGTCCGGGACTCAACGAGGCAGGCCGACGTCGTCACGACGTGCATGGCGTGCACCACCGTCCTCATCATCATTGCCGAGCGGTGGAATTTGGCGACGTCGTACCGAGACATCTTTGAGGCGCTGTCGCAGCGGACGATCAGCATGATTTGTAATGATGGGCAGAAGCCGGCGGCGGCGGCGGCGCCTGGTGGCGTTAATAACACTTCGTTGCCTGCGATCGGGCCGGGCCCGGGGGCGGAGGCGGATATGCATGCTGCTTTTGGTGGTGGTGCAGCGCCTTCGATGCAGGACTGGATTATGGGGTTAGATGACTTGTCGATCCCGCAAGAGTCGGAGTGGCTGGTGCAAGAGTTGCTTCAAGGTGTTCGGGATTATTAGCAGTTATGACTGACACTTTGGAACAGATGCTATGAGTTATGATGGATGAGATTATATTAACTAGTACTTAGTGATACGCCAGATAAACAAAACGGAGCTGACAAGCTTGCGACAAAGATGGTCATCTTTCCAATAAATCGAACCGAACACAATCCGAATATCCTAGCAAACGAAAAGACCTACCCAAGTATCATATCCATCCTTCTTCTAAGCACTAGCAAAATCGAGGAATTATGTCCATACTCAAACCAAGCTCCTCCGCGCAGGTCTGCAAACTCTTCATCTGGGCTTGCGCATATAAATCGTTTGCATCAAGAATTTCTCTCGCCAAAGCCTTCTCGTATCCTTCCACATCCGGTCGCGTCGACTCCTCGTGGTCCATCGTAGGTTTGCTTGAGCCGGACTGGATGTTCGACTGGAAGATCCCAGCAGCCGAAAAGGGCAAAAAGTCTTCGTACGTAATTGGCACCGCTTTGAGTACACCCTCTGAGACAAGCCGATCCAAGAGAGAAGCGGGATTCGCTGTATCGAGACTTGCTAAGCTGTGCAGCTTCTGTTTGGCATTGCCTGCGCATCGATAGTCCGAGTAAACGAGGCCCTGACGTCGCAGCTCGTCCCAGTCATCGGGAAACTTTTCAAAGACCTTTGCAAATGTCTCGTCTACCACCTTCGCTTCAGCAAAGACTCCCTTTTCTTGTACTGTTGCCATGGCTTCCTCCAACAGCTCATCGTACAGCTTTCTTCCTGCAGGCGTAACGGCAGCGCCCCTCTCCTCAATCTCACCAAACCGAGCCTTATGGAAACCATCTACAAACTCATCTCTCCCCGAAATAGCAAAGCGAATACCCTCCTGCAGCGCAAGAAAGCTTGTTTGGCGTAACAAGATCGGGCACTTGCGCACCGGTGGGCCCTCGATGCGGCTCTTGACCGCCATGCCCGCGGCAAGCATGGCCTCCTGCGCCGCATTGATATCCAGGGCCCTCGGTGTGAGGTGATTAATGTGCGACGAGCGGAAACACGCGATATCCGCCAAGATGGGATGTTCGCTCCGCAAGAGGACATACTCTTGGTGCGTAGCCGCCGCTAGGGGCTGCCAGCTAAACGTGCGAATCGCCTCCACCACAAAACGCTCCCCTTGCTCCGGCGTCAGACGACTATCCTGGCACTCCTCGGCCGTGCTCAAGAGCTCAAAGAGGGCGTCGCTAAAGATGTTGCGTTTGGAGAGGAGCTCCAGGGCGACGGCCCGCGCCGTCCCAGACTTGAGCAGCTCGGGCCGGAGGAGCGTGGTGAAGACGCGAAAGGGGTTGCGTTCCAGGGACTGCGGCGACGTCGGGCGGAAGCAGGTCGCGTGCATGGGCAGGTCCGCGACGGAGAGATCGTAGTAGCCGACGGGGTGCATGCCGAGGAGGGCGAAGATGCGGCGGACGGTGTGGAGTTCTTGCGGGGTGCCGAGGCGGATTGCGCCGTGCCGTTCGAGGGTTAGGCGCTCGATACTGGCTTCCATTGTTGCGGAGCCTAAGCTGTGACCCATTCCGTGGCACTTTTTCGTTTGGGCGTCTTTGTTGACGGTTTGGACGATTTGGATGAGGTCGCCGTAGAGGGGCACCTCGGCCTTGTACATGGCGGACATGGCGAGCGCAAAGGTCGTTCGGAGGGTGTCGGCGTCGACGTAGTTGGCGTCGGGTGCCGGATGACCCGGAGGACCTGACCGGTGCGCAGATAGTAGGCTGGTCGACATGATGGTGTTGTTTTAGGAATCACTTGTTGTTCAACGACTGAGAATGATCTCTAGATGTGGATGAGTGAGTAGGAAGAAATCAAGATAAGAGTAATGCGATAAGGTTGATATTCGGGTATAGTAGGAGGATCAGTAAGGCTAAGATGGAGCTAGTCTCTAGTAGAGAGTTCAAACTCAGAGGCAAACTTCTAAATATCATGTATTATTAAAGATAAAGGCAACCTAGTGACAAACAATCATCCGTGCGAATAGTTGAGTTGGGTCACACGATGGCTTCGGAGGGAAACACTGGCATAGACTCAGGCCTCATGGTTCTTCCCGAGAGCATTACGAAATCAATTAGTCCGAATTCTTGACTAGGAACATGTCCTAAGTTCCTAAGGACCGTCAGATGACTTGCTCCAGCAACTATGGCCGAGGTCATCGACCACGTCGTCCGGCTTACGCCGGGAGCTACTGATAAGATGTCACTGAGGATCGTCCTGTGGCTTCGGGTATGGGGCGGTGGGGTGCCGGCAGCTCGTCATCTTACCGAAAGGTGGATCGGAAGCAAGGAGCGCCCTTAGTCGGGCATGAACCGTCTCCAACCGCCATGATCGGAGGTTTCCGAGTGATGGCGACATTGCTGTTGTGCTTATCCGCTTTCTCCATCACCCCATGCGGAGTAACCGCCATTTGGTATCTCACTGAGCGCTCACTTACTCGACGTTTTCATTTTTCCAAGGTCACATAGCGAGAGACAATCTCGCATGCTAGGTTTGATAAGAAGACTCAGCAGGGAAAGAAACCACCTACCCTTTCTTGAAGGCACATTGCAGTTGCAAGTATTACCTGGTCTACCACATTGCCCACCATGTCAACCACCACGACCGTTACGGCATCCGCACCGGCACAAGCACCACCGGCACCGACGCCGCTCGGTTCGGCGCTGGACTCGGGCAAGGCGGGTAGCGGCAAGATCAAGCGCCTACACCAGATCCCGGTTCCCGAATCCAAAGAAGCTGCCCGGAAATGGCAGCTGGAACAGATGGCGGCCGCGTTTCGCATCTTTGCCAAGTTGGGCTTCTCTGATGGCAGCAGTGGGCATATCAGTCTACGAGGTATGTTTTCTTCTTTTCATCCTTTTTACTATCAGTACAAGCAGGCGAGGACTATGCTAAGAGCTCTTACAAGACCCCGTCAGACCGGATACGTTTTGGATCAACCCGTATGGAGTGCACTTTGGCGTGCTAAAGGTGTCGGACATGGTCCACATCGATGAGGATGGCAACCGTATCGGCGGTGCCGACAAGCCGGTAAATACCGCCGGCTTCACCATTCACTCCGTTCTCCACAAGAGGAGGCCGGATATCAACGCTGCCTGCCACATGCACAGCCCGTATGGCCGAGCGTGGAGCACCTTCGGACGTCCGATTGACATGCTTAACCAAGGTAAGCCACAACTCCCAACCTCATCGTGTTGTAGGTATTGTTCCATTTCAACTAAAACGTTAAAAAAGACTCTTGCATGTTCTATAACGACCTTTCAGTCTACGAAGGTTTCGGCGGCGTAGTACTGGCAAAGGAAGAAGGCGAACACATCGCCGAAGCCCTTGGCCCCAGCAACAAGAACATCATCCTCCAGAACCACGGGCTCCTCACCGCCGGCGGAACAGTGGCCGAGGCGGCTGCCTTCTTTATCGCGCTTGAGCGGTGTTGCCAGGCCCAGTTCCTCGTTGAGCAGGCTGTTGCTCCTGGAACCAACGGCGCTGTTGGTGGATTGAAGAAGACGTTTGTCGGCGAAGAGGAGGCACAGTACACAAAGGATGGCACGGGTACACCTGAAGTCATGTACATGCAGTTTGTGCCAGAGTATCAGTTAATTCTGAAAGAGTCAGGCGGTGACTTTCTGTTATGAGACTGCATGTAGGTGGAATTGTTTAGTAAGCATGGGAGAGAAGAAAAGTAAACATCCATTAGCATTCGTGATAGTGTGGTGATTGCCGAAAATCTATTCGGTTGCACTACCTTAAAAAAGCTAAGCTGGGACGGACTCGGGCAGATCTCAATTGTGTTCATAGAGACTTCGACATAGAACATATTGCAGACATTCCTACCCATGCCAGTGAACCGGCGTTGGTCTTACTAACCCAGAATAGAACCACTGACCCATAGTACACACATCATAAACAGGAATCTTTCCATCTAGTGCTCTGAATATTGCCTCCGAGAAAGGGGGCATGTTGGTACATTCGAGTACCAGGATCCTGATATCAGGCCGATTGGCTACAAAGGTCTTGGCAACGGCGACGAGTTCTGCCTCAATGTCTGCGTGGACGTACGGAGCGCCCTTGCCAATTGTGCCTCTCAAATGCCCGTCAGGGGGCACCCCGCGAATGACGATCTTGGAAAGCGCCTGTTCGGGCACAAAGCTGGCGAGGTGCTGAGAGCCTAGTCTCGACTCATCATAAGTGAGAACTCCCACACTCTTGTCTGGTGGAAGCAGAGGTAGTATTGAGGGTAGTTGGGCCAGCGATGACGTGGCGATCGGGATGGGCAACCTTGCGGTAAGTCTAATATGTTCACAAATCAGACTTTTGGTTTCTCCTTGGCTTGATTTAATGGCAAATGCAGATCAGTATTATACTCACTCGGCTTGGGCTAGCGCCAGGAACCCGCAGCTAGTGATGATGCCCACGCAACCTCTAGCCGCTAGACGTAGACCCGCATCCACGAACCGGTCTATAAATGTAGAATCATAACTAGAAGAGGTGACGACTTGCGAGACTTTTGATCCCTCAGCCATTTCCCGGATGAGAGGAAACAGCCAGGTCCGCTCGTTGTAGGGGTCACCTGGTGGTCGGTGTATATCCACCTCTATGGCAATGAAACCAAGCGGTGGGAGACTTTGTAAAGCTTGAGCCATGTTGAAGTATAATCTTACTACTCGTGAATTCACGAAGTTGACGAGCTCTTCGAATAATTCTATCCCTAGTGACAAACCCGTCTGCCTTTAAGCATTTGCCGCGTTTGAGACTGCCGGAGAAGGCTGTTGAGTTACTGATGCTTATCAAAACCATCAGCAGCTACACGGGCATCATCGATAGCAGTTACTTCACCAAAAGAGCATTTCTGATATGCGGTTCAAACGATCAGCAGCGCAATCATCCAATTGGAAATAGTTCATAGTTACCCTGCAGTTCGTACGGCAACGTATCAACGGAAGGAGAGAAGTTGTTAGGGCAGAAGAACCAAGGTCTCCCCGGATTCGGGTCCTCCCGAGTGGGGTCCCATGCGGTTCGGGAGAATCCGACCACTCCAGAAACCCCTCCGTTATTCGGATCCGCACCGGAAAAAAGCCGGCCGTAAGAGTTGAGTTGATTTGTCGGCAAAGTGTGATAGCTGAGGAGTTTCTGTTTGTCACTGACGGGCAACGATTACGGTAGATGTGGGATAATTCCGGCAACTTTCAATGTTATTTCAAAAGCAGCCGGCGACATTGCGGCTAAATGACATGTCTTCTTCCGTCAAGTGTTGGTCTGACGCCTTACGTATTTGATTCTCCTGGCATCCATATACCCCGCGATTATTACTGAATTATATCCCACAGCCTGCTAGCATACCACAACCGTTGTTCTATCGTTGAGAATAAGACTTTCCTGCATAATCATGGCACCAGCTCGAACAGATGACTTGGGCTCAAGGAAGCCCCGCGTCGTGGCACTCGGCACCCCAAAATATGTCGGCGACGACTACCTCGCCGACTTCAAGACCGAGTTCGACTACTCCGTTCTCGAAGCCACAGACCGCGCGGAAACGATAGCCATGCTGCCAGAGGATATCGAGAAGAACGGTCCCATCGATGCGTTCATTATCCGCATGGGCACTCCGCCATACGAGCCGTTTGACAAGGGTCTTTTGAGCGCTCTGGTACCCAATTGCAAGATTGTCACGTCTGCTAGCGCCGGGTACAACGAGTTCGACGTGGAGTGGATGGCCTCGGAGGGCATTTGGTTCTGCAACACGGTCGACGCTGTGGCCGAGGCGACGGCGGATATGGCCTTGTTTCTGACCCTGGCTGTTCTTCGCAACACGAGTAATGCTGAGAAGAGCGCAAAGGCTGGCACTTGGAGAGCAGTTCCGGGCCTTGTTCCCGGAAGAGATCCTTCAGGCTTGACGATGGGAATTGTCGGGATGGGGGCGATTGGCAAGGTATGTTCTAGTCAATCGCATCATGATTACGTTGCAAAGTTTCCAAGCTAATATTCGTAACCGCGCAGTACCTCGCAAAGAAAGCAGCCGTCTTCAACCTCAAGATCAGATATCACAACCGTCACCAGCTTCCCACGGAAGAGGAGGCAAAGTACAACGCGGTATTCTCCCCAACACTGGAGGACCTTCTCGGCAAGTCCGACATTGTGTCACTCAACTGCCCGCTAAACGACCAGACGACTGGTCTGATCGGGCCCGCGGAGTTTGCCGCGATGAAGGACGGCGTCTTCATCGTCAACACCGCCCGGGGGCCCGTCGTTAACGAGGCGGCGCTCAAGAACGCGCTAGACTCTGGCAAGGTGGCGCGCGCTGGCCTCGATGTTTTCTGTGACGAGCCCAAGCCCGATATGGCTTTGGTACAGCACGACAACGTTATTGCGCAACCTCATCTTGGTGGTCTCACAGATATGGCTTTCCAAAAGGCCGAGAGGGAATGTTTTGAGAATATCCGGGCTTTATTCAAGAGTGGGAAGCCCAACTCTCCTGTTATCGACATCCATGACAGGAAAGCAAAGGCTTTGGCCAAGTGACTCAATAGACTTGGCCACACTTTTCAGCTTGGGAAGATCTAGGGTTTGAAAGAAAGCATCTAGTAGCATAGATTATTAGCATCGTATACAACTACTTCGACTCAGCACTGCTTCAAACAGACTTAATACTACAAATGTTACATCAAACTGTGTAAGATGATGACGGGTAGAATTATATATCTTAGCTTGACGAGCTTTGTATACGACGGTTCGAATAGAACCAAACTAAGTCGCTATATACTGTCTCCGGCTCCACAGTCCCAGTAAGACTGGTGTACGTCTCTCGTAGTCTACACGGCATCATTGCCTAGAGTAATGATGCATAAGCAACCTTCTAGGATTCAAGCATATATGGACCGCACTTCGCTAGAGAATGCAATGTCCTAGACGGGATGAAGATAGGAGTCTGAACGGAACACATCTTCATGAAGGCCGCCTAACTTCTTTAAGATTACAAACGACTTAAGCATTATCTTATAAATTCAAGCCTATTGATGCAAGACCCAGTGATTGTAACAAAGCTTGCAGCCATCTACAAAACACAAGCTGACGATGGTTTGTCACGCCCGATATCATCGTTCTTTAACAAAGTGTCTGATCAGACTTTCTGGCTGACCGCACGCGCACCGTTCTTCTCAATACTAGATTCAGGCTCGCTATTTTGGTCGCTTCTACACATATTCATGTTAGTCTTTGGCTTTGCACTCAAAATTTTCGAAGTGAGGGTACTCACACTGACTCTTGAGCGTCGATGATTGCCTCCTGCTCCCGGGCTTGCTGCTTCAGTTGTTTGGCTCTGCGACTGACGTTCCACCATGGTCCCTTGAAGAGCTCGTCCAGTTGCTCCAAGCTCTGTAGAGATGTTTCAGGGACAACGCAGTAGACGTAGATCAACGACAGGAAACACCATCCCGCGAAGAAGATGAAAGCACCCCAGTTATGAGTCTGGCTGAGCAACGAAGGCATACCCTTATTGATGCCGAAGAAGAACAGCCAGTGGAAGAATTGTGCAAAGGCGCTGCCGAAGGAGCGGAGGTGATTGGGCCACAGCTCGGCACCGAAGACGTAAGGTAGCACGAGGAGGCCTGTAGAAATATTAGCAAGCTGCCCCCAATCGGCTTGGCACATCTATCGATTTTACTTACCGACAGCGTACCCGAACCCGTGGATGAAGACGGCGGCGATGGCAGCTTCGCTAGAACCGGGCGCAACAGAACCTTCCTGGCGATATCTGATAAAGACACCGATGTACAAATCGGAGATCATCTGGATAGTGATACCCGTGAACAAACTGCGACGCCGGCCAAGAGCATCAATGAAGAAAAAACTGGCAATCAAAGTGAAGAAGAACTTGGCCATGCTGTACATGCCGCTGAGGAATAAACTCCGGGCAGTGCCTCCACCAAGTCCAAGCATACTCAGGATTGGAACGAGGTAAGACGTGACACTGTTCGCACCGGAAAGCTGGGCGAGGGCGTACGATAGAACGGCCTGCTGCACGCGACGAAGGTTGGAGGGGACCAGAAACGCATCTTTCACCAAGACGACAAAGCCAGGGTTGCGTCCGAACTTCTCTTCCTCTTTGGCGATCTGGTCCTTGATGTCTTCGATCTCAGTAGCCACTCGGGGGTGATTGACCGGCAGCCCTCGGAGAGCCGTCAGATTTTGGATCGCCTCATCGTCCCGTCTGGCAATGAACAACCAGCGGGGACTTTCGTAGAGCAAAAAGCTTGCTGCGATGAGGATGGCCATGACGATAGTCGGAGAGAAGAAGACGATCTGATATTGAAGTCTTCCGACAGCGACATGGATGAAGCAGGCATAGACGATGAAGACCGACACAGTCAAGGACAGTAGCATGGCAACGCTGAACCAAACCGCCAGGAGACCACGGATCTCGGTAGGGGCAATCTCCACGATGCTGACTGGTCCGGTGACTGTGAGGGCACCGATGCCCATGCCCGAGACGATGCGAGCGAAGTAGAGGGCGCCGATGTTACCCATTGAGACAGTCGCAATGATTTGTCCGATGATCCAAACGGTCATGTAGAGGCGGTAAGACCACATCCGTCCGATGCGGTCATTGAGGAAGAATGAGAGGCCGGCGCCGATGCCAGCTCCGATGTAGACGAAAGAGATGAAGTTGGAGACTTGGGTAGGGTTCGTGGCCGAGGTGATTCCAAAGTCCTTTTGGAACCCGGGAAGGGACGGCACCACCGAGGACGAGCCTTGATCCCATGCTACGTTGGCCAGGTTAGCCGACGCATCTTGAATATGTCGTTGATGATGGATGAAGTCTTCTTACTGATAGGGATACCACTTGTGGCATAGAGAGCAGCGGTGAGCAAGAGCTTTCGGTTCGAGATAAGTTCTCGAGGCGACTCCCTGATCGCGGTGATGTACTTGGCGAAGGTCGACTCGGTGAAGACTTGCTTGACACCCATCTTACTGAGGGCGGCACGTCGTTCTTCTCGAGTTCGAGTAATGATCAAGCGAATCGGCACCCGTCTGGATGGTTGGCACGAGAACCTTACCGCTGCTTCAGTGAGCAGACGAAACCTTTGGCGACAAGCGGAAGTTTAGATGAACCAAATGGATTGCGCGTTGCGTCGTTGAGGGTGATGGCATATCATCGGACAGGGAGGTGTCCCAATGGATATCTATATGTTAACCTGATTGCATGTCTGTTGGCTCATTATGCATCGGCTGGACGTTATCAGAGCCAAGATGCGAAAAGACACGTCCGGTGTGGCTCAACCCTTACCCTGCTTCGTCGAGCATGCTTCGTTTGCTAAACAAGGAGTCCCAATCGGCAGGGTCGTCGTCTGTGCAAGCTCAAGATCCGGGGTAAACACCTAAGGACGGGGGTTTCCAGTCCGTTCGTCCCTACGGCTCATGATGAAGAAGCCCTTTGAGATAGGATTCTTCCTCGAACCCCCCCTTTAGTGTGACCCGTATCAGGCTAGGGTAGGTTGACAGTCACCGGCTCTGATGGGACTTGCAGTAGCTTGCCAACCAGAGCCCTGGGTCGTTATCCGGGACAATCCGAGCAAGGGTGTCCATGTCTGCGGCACACTGCGAAATGACGAGAGCGGGGTCATAGAGCTACGCAAACTAGGAGGTTATCAGCTGCCGGGACCGGACCCAAGACCGCGCGGTGGGGGAGGGCCTGTGGGGCGCCCGGCAGGAAAGTGCTCCGTCAAGGGAGGATGTATCTTTGATAGCGACGGCGACTGGGGGAGGAACTCGTCTGATTGGATTGGTTGCGCAATTGTTGATATCAATTTGATTGTTCTATATCCTACTCCTATCAGGTCGTCAATCATTGCCAATGTGATTCCATTCGCATCTGTCACAAGTCACAAGGCTCTCACAAACTTCGACATAGTTGATGACTCGTTTAGCTCAGACTATTGCTCTTCAATCCAGGCGCCGCAGTGACTTAAGCTCCCGCACTTTCTTCTAGCTCCGACCCGGCCAGCAGCGTTGCCACGGCGTTTACCGAAAGATCATACCATACGGCCTGTCGGCACTCGACTAGTTTGCTCGATCCAAGAGAAAAAGGTCGTTAAACGCCGTTCCAGAAAGCTGGTGTTCCCATCTTTCGCTTGTCGACCCCTCGTCGCTCAAAGTTTAGTAGCACGCTGACACCGAAGCACGAACAAATCTCTTCGGACTCATCTCCGAAACCAGGCCAGAGCTTTCCTTCTGGAACATCTTTGGGCTAAAATTCCCGAAAATAGCTGCTGTGTTCTGCTTCAATCCTTCACAGTCATATTACATGCAGTAGCGCTGCCCGAAATCATGGCAGGCTCACTTAGCAAGGACGATGCGGTCGTCATAGTCGGCGCCGGCATCTTTGGACTCAGCACCGCGTTGCACCTATCTCGCCGGGGATACAAGAACGTCACCGTCTATGACAAACAGCCTTACCACGAAAGTCTGTATTCGTATTTTAAAGGCGCCGATGGAGCCTCTGCAGGTAACAAACTTTATCAACTCCTAGTGCCGTTGGCAGAAGGCTAATGTACGTTCCAGACATGAATAAAATCATCAGATCTGCTTATGGCGCACAAACAGAGTACCAGGGCTTGACCATCGAAGCGCTAGAGGGCTGGACCGCTTGGAATGAGGAGCTGGCAAGCGGGAAGACAGTTCCACCCGGCCTTACCACCAACGACCGCGTATTTGTCAATAACGGCAACCTGTCACTCTCAGACTCGGCAACTCTGCCGCAATTCGAGCAGGACACCGTTGACAACATGGAGGCAGCAGGGCATCGAAATACTCAGCTGATCACCATTGATGAAGAACACAAAAAGGTTGCAGCTGAAAAGGGATGGTCATTTGGGATGGACCCATTCCGCCGCTTACAAAGAGGGTTAAACGCGGCCGGCGTTCTTGACACGACGGGAGGTATGGCCGTGGCTGACAAGGCCTGCCGTTTTGCGCTGCATAAGGCGGCAAACCAAGGCGTCAAATTTGTGTTAGACTCGCAGGCTGGTGCTCTTGTCTCGTTGATCTACGAGGGCAAGAAGGTTATCGGGATTAAAACCCGAGACGGCAAGGCACACCACGCGAAGCTGACTATTCTGGCGTGTGGTGGCTGGACGCCATCTTTACTCCCAGCCCTGGACGGTTTGTGTGAGACGACGGCAGGGTCGGTGGTGCTGCTCAAGATCCCGCGCGAATCGCCGTTGTTTACTCGTTTCGCGCCTGAAAACTTCCCAACCTTCACATACAAGGTACGGGACGGAGCTGAAGGTGGTCTGTACGGGTTCCCGAGGGATGAGAATGGCTGGCTTAAGATCGGCTATCGCGGAACCAAATACACAAACCCCGTCGCGCAAGCTGATGGCAAGGAACGCAGCGTACCCGTAACACGGTGGTCGACTGCATCGGCGCCTGGCGATCCGGACGAAGCCAGTAACGAGCGCTTGACGACGATTCCCCAGCAAGCTCTGAAAGTTTTGCGCTTATTCTTGGCAGAGAATCTCCCGGAGCTAGGCGCCGAGGGCATCGATATTTCTTTCACTAGGGTGTGTTGGTATACGGACAGCTATGACAACCATTTTGTCATTGATTATGTTCCCGACACTGAGGAGTCACTTATGGTTGCGACTGGCGGTAGTGGGCATGCATTCAAGTATCTTCCCAACATTGGCAATTGGGTTGTAGATGCAGTGGAAAAGAAGGGTCAAGACCAAATTCCACCAAAGCTTTGGAAGTGGAGACAAATCGGAAAGCAGGAGAAACCGTATAATGTCTTAATGGAAGGAAGCAAGGGCATGACGGCTCTCGGCAACGTGCCTTTGGCGGCTGAGATAGAGGTATCTGGTAGTCTAAAATCTAGGCTGTAGGATTGAGGCTAGGTCTTGACATCACTTGAACCCCCGGGTGAAAACAGCGTCAACCACCATATCACTCAACCATACACACACTGACATCCCGGTGTTTCTCCTGTGCTTTGAGATTTGGTTCAGCCTTAACTTTGATCTCCAGCTAGCTGTAAAACTGGAGGTATTCAGGTGTGTGTGGCTCTCAGCTGAGGTTCGGCTAGGATGACCGTAGCGTCGGAGGTGCTCCCCGACTAGCTGCCAAGAACATGCCTCGTCCTACTAGTTCGTAACTTCTTCCATCGTATGCCGTGATCTAATGCAAAAAGTTTTGGTCCGGGCCTCCTCGGGCTGCCCGTTTTACATGAGCCTACATTAGCCCCAAGTAACTTTGACTATACCTGGATTCAAGAGATGTTGCTTGGAATTGGATGCACTTAGACAGCGCGCGAGACACGATGTTTTGGCATGGATTCGACTCGAAAGTATCCACCTTCCATTACTCTCTACAAGTTGACGAGTGTCTCCAAAGTAAACCACGTCCGCGTAAAGAATCACCCACGAACCTTACTGAGCCTCCCAAGCTGTGCCTTGGCATCAGCTTAGCTCCTCCTCCCCGACCTCCGTCGACGCCGGTGCCGGCGACTTCTGTGGATACTCCTCCAGATTTTGGATTTGAGCATTTCTCGAGCTCAACTTCTCTACCCGTTTAGGATCTTTGAGAATAAAGCGGCGGACGAATTGCCAAATGTTCGGGATGCAAGTCGTGAAAACGCCCACGTCGAGCTCCACGTCTGACCACACGGCGACGGGCATTGCATCAACTAGAGATGGTCAGTCCCGCTAAGAGTGGCGCGCCAAACAGGGTTTTTTTTTGCTTCTTTTCTTTTTTTCTTGGATGATTCGAAGCTCTACTCACCAGTTGGGTTGGTCGACGCTGTCGTGTACCTCAGGACCGCTCTTAGCCGTATGCCGCTGGAGATTGTAAGGCTGATCGTAGTAGAGGAGTCAGTCGTATGTCAGAAATAAAGATGACCTTCGAGGGAAGTTGCTCACAATAGACCGAGACTGAACATGAACATCACCGCCCACTTTTTTCGAGGCTTCATGTTCAAGAACAGCACCTGGGATGCCGGTAAAATGAGCATCCAGATGTCTAATATGATGTTGACCACCCCGTGGACCACGCCAAGCGGCGGTACCGGTATACAGTGACCATTCTCCTCTCCGGTCCATTGTTTCCATGCTATGCTGACGGGTTGACACTGAAAGGCCACCAAGAAAACGGAGCCCATGCCGAGACCCACGGTGACGGCTTGCGTCACCCACAGGACCCGGCGGAACTTCTCGCCGGGGAAGATTCGGAGGAACATGAACAGCATAGAGGATTTGATCAGCGTTAATGTAAACACATAGAGTAACTGCCCGATATAAAAGGTCTGAATTCTGTCAGCGTGACATTCTCGTCTAGTCATTCTTTAGCCTTGGTCAGAGAGCTATTACCAAGAAATAGAGATCGATTTGGTCGAAGGTAAGACTCCAAATGTCTCGCCCGGCGCCGCTACTTTCAGCTATAAGGTAATTGCCACATTAGTTATCAAGTCCTCTTTGGATCATGCATAGGCATATTCTTACCAAAGTAATTGACCGGTATGAAACCTATCATTATGATCTTGATTCACATGTAAGACTTTCCTTCTTTCACCCCCTCCCCCAGTCCAAGGGCGTAACTCACGTATGTCAGTAGAATGGTACTATCATCAAGTCCCCAGGGCGATATTCGGGCGATCTTCACTACCATTCGGAGGATAATGGCGAAGGTGGGAAGTGTGAAGAACAGAACCAGGCGAATGACCTTGACAGTGGCGAAGTTGTCCTCCACCGGAAAGCCACATTCCGTCTGTGTGATATTCTTCGTGACTGGAGATGTGATTAGCAATGTGCCGTCTTGATATCCCGACAGAAACTTTGATTAACTGACCCAGGGCATTTTTGACTGAACAATTCGCTCTAACGCATGTCTCGACTAGATTGATGTATGAGGTGTCCGCGCAGAGGCACGTTTGGTCACTGGAAGCACATGCCGACTTTGGGATGGCGTCCAGTAGGCAAGGGACCTGTCGAATATCAGCAAGGCTACATCGTAAAGAATACTTTGCGCGAAAAGTGCTCACTGCGCATGGCGGAAGGTCGCCGAGGTTGGATGCTTTCGTAAGGCTACCGAGGCAGAGTAGAAACAATGGCGGTGCCAGCCGTGCCCAAAGCATGACTGCAAAAGCGATGAACCGTCTTAGGAATACCTGCGATTTTTTCCTTTCCGTATAGGGTCGTTTGTCGTCTCAACAGCTCTTCCTTTTTTTTTCAGCGGGCGGCTTAATTCGAAACGACCACGATCTACTTTTGGGTATGATGATTGTGAGCTGAGTCCAGTTTTGCATCAAATAACGGGGTTTTCTCAGTGGAAAGAAGTAGGTAAGTGAGCGGGACGCCCCGTATGTACGGTCCCTTCAGCCCGCTTAGATGAGCGGCCAAGTTGGCCTCGCAGCCGCCACGGTAGTGCCTCGCTGACATTCCGATGCCATATGCGTCAATTCCGATGAGATTGGCGCTGAACAACTACAAAGAATGCTTTCTGTCTAGTCCTCCAGTTGCTGAAAGAAACGTATCATCGATTCCAATTTGATGCCGGTTTTGGTCTAGACCCGCCCACGCAAAATTAGGCGGTCCAGCCAGATTTTTCCTCGATCTACCGAATCGCTCAATTATGAGCTTATCTGGATTTCCCATAGCCTTTCATGCTATGGAATCAAGCAAGCCAGTGTTGAGAGTTCTGCAACTTTACTTCGTTGTCGCTTGTCCCTGAGATCGGGCCGAGATAGTCCCGACTCCCGGGTATATCACTCCAGCAGGGCCACGCGGGCCGAGACATTTACTCCTTTGCCCCCTTTACTGCGGAACGACGAAACGATGACGGTATAAAGATCTCCATACTTTCTCTGACTTCCCACAAACAAGTGTTTTCGGTTTGAAGATATAGCGGTAACAGAATCGGGGTGAACGTCATATTGGCTTTCGTGTTAAATATATGGGTTTTTCTTTTCTTTTCTTTTTTTTTTTTTTTTTTTTTTTTTTTAATGCCGTTATTCGCAGGTCATAGGATACAGAGGAAGTTTTGAAGAGAGTGTGTAATCGTATTATCGTCTAATCGCGCTCTTCGAGTCTTCCCTTCAGGTCCAGACAATCATCAAATAAGTCCCGAGTGAACTTCCACACCTTCTCATCCAACCCTCTCTCCCTCATATCCCCCAAAACCTTCTCATTATCAATCGTCTCCCCTTCCGGACCAACCAAAAACAAACCACCCCCAGACTTCCTTACACCCTCAACCCCCTCAGCAACTTTCACAACTCCCTCCCGACCCCGAGAATCATACAAATCACTCGTCGCCAAAAACAACCCCCTCGCACCCGCCTCCTCAAGACCCATCTCCCCAGTAACTCCCACCCCAAACCCCCTCGCCCTCTCCAACCCTGGCGTCGCCACGGGTCCAGGCATAGAGTGCACAAGACTCACCCCCGGGTTCTCCCGCGCCAACACCTCGAGCGCAAGGGTGCCCATAGTCGTAGCCTGCACGGAAGCAGGCCAATACCCCCAGTTCCCCGGCCTCCGGAGGTCGAGATCATCCTCGTCGACCATGGGACCCTCTAACCCCGCTGCCAGCACCGAGACGACGCGCGGGCGGGTCGCGTTGCGGAGGAGAGGGAGGAGTTTTTGGACGGCGCGGAGGCGGGTGTAGTACCGCGTCGACATGGACGGATCCAGCCCTTCTACGGTGTTTTGGCGTCCTTCAAAGGCGATGAACCCCGCCGACAGGAAGAGGATGTCGATTTTGGTTTCCTGTTGGAGGATGGTGTCCATGGCGGCGTTGATGTCGGATACGAGGGCGTGGTCTGCGGATAGGAGGGTGTGGTTGGCGTCTGGGTTCGCGGTTGCGCGCAGCGAGGCGAGGAAGGACTCGTGGGATGCGACGGTTTGAGGGCGAGCTATGGTGTAGATGTGCGGGGAGCGCGCGTGTTCGGCGAGGTGTTGGAGGGTGCTTTTGCCGATGCCTGATGTTGCGCCGATGAAGACTGCTACTAGGCCCTTTGGGAGAGATGCGACGAGGGCGTTGGATTGTTTGACTACTTGAATGGAGACCATGGTTGAAGAGTTTTGAGTGAGTGCGTTCTGGTCAAGATGGTTGTGATTCACAATCTTTGGGCTACCGTAATACTTCCTTAATGTCGATAGTTTTACCATGCGTTCGCATAGCACATATCTTATAAGTTCTTAGCTACTGGATATTATCGCCAACATCACCTGATGTCGTTGTCGTTGCTCGATGGTAGCCCGTAGAGTATCGTCGACAAGCCAAAATTCGATCGAATTTCGGACGAGCAGGATGCATCCTCCTGGTATTGGTTCATCCCATTGGTCAGCCAGAATCCCTCATCAGGGCAGAATACCGAGAGGTTGGTCAGCAATGAGCTGTGGTTCGGATGGATAGGTTTGAAGCGGACGATAGAAATAGTCCGAACTACGAAGCTGGTAGAGAGGCATGTTTCACTGTCTCAGACATGCTAGCCTCCTAACATTTGTGATCTGGTGGACACTCGGGTATCAAAGCCTCATGTCCTTCGTATCCTCACTCTCACCACGATTCCAAACCCGCGCATACTCTCCCATATTCCCATCTCGTTTTCCCGGCGAAAGGTGACTTCCTCCGCGCGCACCGTCATGGAAACGTTTTCTTCCATTGTTGTGGAAGGTGACGTGGACTTGATAAACTGTCGAGGAGGCGCTGGTCCCGACGAGGACGACGAAGGCGACGACGACGGGTCGGTGCCGGCTCTGAATAGCCCCCACCGGCCTGCCTTTTTATCTTCTTTTGACTGTTCTACCACGGCGCGGATGACGGTGCGGTCAATTTTCGGCTCCGGCTGTAGCCGCTTCGCGAGGCGACGGGCAAAACCTTCATCGCTCCACCACCATTTTCCTTCCCTTGACGTCGATGCTCCTGCGCTGATATCGTCATCCCAGCGGCCCCACTCGTCGAATTCATAGGAGGAGCCCGCCACTGCATTTCGTGAGGCTGAGCCGGTGCTTTGGCCCCTGGTGTCACCCCTTCCCTTGGAATCGGGGTCGGCCTCCGGTTCCACGCGGGTGACTTCCGCGACCTGCCCTGCCTTTGGGTCGGCGTCCGAGGCGATGATCCATTCCGGACCAACTGCTGCTGCGGGTACGAGGTAGAGCTCTGTTGATATCGGTGGGTGAGGGGTCGTCCCTAGACGTGTCAAAAGTGACGTGATGTGGGGCGTGAGGAGCGGAAGAAGGGTTGTCGTTGTGATTGTGTCCCGGGCGGTCTGTTGAGCTTGTGTTTCGCGAAGGAGGGAAGAAAGGTTGTTGAGAGTCGCTGAGACCGATGAATTAGGGTTGAGTGACGATGACGAGTGGTATGATGTCGTTGCCTCGTTGTATGAGGGGGGGAGGTCCCCGTCTCCAGCGGGGTTCTTCGACATAGCGACAGCACCTGGAGTATGTTTGGAATTGAATTGAATTGATGCTTTGTGGTTTGGCTGGTGCAATCCAAACTGAAACTTGCGTGAAAGTGAGCTTGAAGGGCTGGTGCAGCCGTAGGTGAGAGATGTTTGGAAGTCCGTCGTTTGTGGGTCACTTAGTGAACGGCCTTGATAGATGAACAGTAAGCCTTAGCTCTTTGTGCCAAAAACGCCTCGGGCGACTCTGTCGTCAGGTGCGTACCGCAACGGTGACTGAATCTTGGAGGATCGGAAGAGGCAGGCAACGACTTTCGAAGCCGAGACGGCGATTCCGCAATGACGGAAGCGCGGGGACACGGCTCGACGACCATGGACCTAGGTAGTTGAAATGCTCTCGGCCAACGCCGATGGAGGCATCAGTTCATCTTCCACAGGGCTGAACTTTTGGGACCCGTGGGACCATAATGCCTGCACGGACACACGCAGTCGGACTCAGAATCCGGGGATGGTGGCGGGGATTATAGGATTTTGTGGTCACGGGGTTTGTGACCGATCAATGGTATGCAGGGGCGAATGTGTATGATTACGTCGAGCCAAAGGGAGTGAGGCTGTGAGAGGTTGTGAGCTGGTTCGTGGGTGTTGTAGATCCTCCGATAACGTCTCTAAGGGTCGGTTCAGGCGGCACTGCGGCTGGGCGAAGGAAGACAAGCAGGCGCTGCAAAGGCTAGTCGACGATTATCGGTTACGCTAATAGCATTTTCCAAGGGTTCTCAAAGGCGTTTTCGAGTGCCTGGTGAACGTGCTGAAAAGAAGAGGAGGGGGGAAATGCGCCCGACTAAAGTGCTGTGCTGCGCCGCAGCTGGTTCCCATTGGAAGGGGCCAAAGAGGTATTAGCGCGCCACCATCGCTCAGCATTCCCGGAACAGGTGACCGAGAATGAGGCCCGCTCGTCGATTGACATGAGGGAAAATCTGAACCTGGGCTCGGTCACCGCCTAGGGCATAGGAGGTCGAAATGAGTCCGAAGTTGATGGGGATATGTGAGTGATTTCTTGGTGTTGATACTGCGTGATTAAGATGCCCGTTTCAGCCGCACGATATGTTGGCATGCAATAGCAAAGTAAACGTTCGGTGACGGGAACGATAGGCCTTCGTATTGCGGTGTCTACGATGGAAGTCGCAGCTTGTGGATGAGCCAATACTTTCATGCCTGTGTTCTATCGACGAGGATCTAACCTAGATGATCTGACTCGGGCCTGCACACTTCTGTTAGTCCGTCCCTACGCCTTTCAATGCATGTCTGACCTGGCGAAATCGTGAGAGCGAGGGTGTTGTCGATGGTGTCGGGCGAAGAAGTGGAGGGCCTCAGATGGGACGCGGTGGAGTGGATCGGCACCTTAATTTCCCCAGATCAGCCACATTCGGCGATTAGGTAACTATAGGCACCCATATAAGGCAGGCTTCGAGAAGAAGTCTAGCGCGATTGAGCCACACCACCTGACCAGACCCATCCGCAGGGCTGACATGATTGGCCGATGATGTTCCGATCGAGTCACGTGGACAAGTAGGACTGACTAATCGGGTACCTGCCGTCTGATGCGGCGTTCCAAAGAGCCAATTCAGCCACCCACTCACTCCATTTCCTCCACATTCAGGTCCAACCGTCTTTGCCGTCCAAGGGTGAGCGTCTCACCGTAAGGTATGCACTGCCGCCACCAACGGCACGATGCTGTGACGGTGACCATTTACCAATGACACCGCCCTACCGCATTGTCTACCCTCCAATAATGCTTTTCCATGCTAGGCATGCCACGAGGCTCATTTCAACAGGCTGCCAGAATGCTATGTTGTGTAACGAGAATGCCTGGTCATTAATGGGTCACGCGCTAGCTGCAACCGTTTACCGCCGCTAACTTCAATGCTTGGCTGGGCGTTTGCCCCCAGCCATGAACCACCTTACCCAAGATGCCAAGGTAGCTGGCATGATGTGAGTCCATTCTTGAGCTTAATGCTCAGGTAGAGAGCTTCGATCTGCCTCGTTCGTTTCCAAGGTATATAGTAGGACGGTTCCTCCCATTTGCAGGGTTGCGTCACACCAACATAAAGATACCTCAAGATACCCCGAGTCTTCTTGTCTATCACAGGACAGCAACTTCACTCGTCAAAGTTCACTCCAAACACCCATCTATATACTACTCACACTTCGAATAACAGACTCGTTGGGAAGCAGTCGCCTTAGAAGATCTCACCCTCTTTGCCCTCTTCCGACCCTACCTCCCTCCATCTTTACCCTACCTTACTCTCACTCACTTCTACCCATACAACACCGCCAAAATGTCGTACAGAGTCGCCGCTCCCGATGAATACCTCGCCATCACGGGTATGTCCGTGAAGACGGTCAAAATCACAAAGGCCGCCTGGGTATGGCCCTTTCAACGCTGCATGCGCTTCCGCATCACTCCCCACGACTATGCCATGAGCCTCCAGGCCATGACCAAGGAGAAGCTTCAGTTCCTCCTGCCCGTCGTCTTCACTGTTGGTCCCGATGTCAACCAGCGCGGCGCCAACGCCGCTCATCAATCAAGCCACCACTCCGAGACCTCCGACCAGCAGCAGCACGATGAGGACGACAGCTACCTTTCCTCCAACCGCCGCGAGGACCGCGGCGACGCCCTCATGAAGTACGCCATGCTCCTCGCTGAGTCCGCCGACAAGAAGACCAGCTCCCTCGTCCACCTCGAGAACATCGTCAAGGGCATCATCGAAGGTGAGGTCCGTGTTCTGGTCTCCAGCATGACCATGGAGGAGATCTTCACCGAGCGCGAGGTCTTCAAGCGTCGCATCTTCCGCAACATCCAGTCCGAGCTCAGCCAATTCGGCCTCAAGATCTACAACGCAAACGTGAAGGAGCTCAAGGATGCCCCCAACTCAAACTACTTTGAGTCCCTCTCCCGCAAGGCTCACGAGGGCGCCAGCAACCAGGCCAGGATCGACGTCGCCGAGGCCCAGCTGCGCGGTAACGTTGGCGAGTCGAAGCGCAAGGGCGAGCAGGAGCGCGAGATTGCAAAGATCAACGCCGAGACCGCCGTCCAGAAGACGGACCGCGACATTGAGCGTGCCACCGCCGAGGCGAACCTCGACACCCGCCAGGCCTCCCTCAGCAAGGACGTCGAGATCGCTCGCGTCGAGGCCCGCCGCGCTCTCGAGTCCAAGGATGAGGACCTCAAGCGCGAGGTCGAGGTCAAGCGCGCCGCCGCTGAGATTGAGCGCCTGCGTGCCACTGATGTCGTCAAAGCCACCATTGAGCGCGAGGCTCGCCAGCAAAAGGCCGACGCCGAGGCCTACGCCATTGAGGCCGACGCCAAGGCCAACTTCGAGAAGAGTCAGCGCGAGACCGAGGCAAAGGCCTACAAGACGCAAAAGGACGCCGACGCGCACACCTCGGCCGAGTTCAACCGCACCACAAAGACGGCCGACGCCAACGCCTACAAAGCCCGCCAGGACGCCGAGGCGCACCAATACTCTGCCCAGCTCAACGCCGAGGCCGACCTGGCCATCATGCTCAAGAAGGCCGAGGGCATGGCCGCCATGGCGGACGCCTACGGCAAGATGTCAACTGCCTTTGGCGGCCCCGCGGGTCTGCTGCAGTACCTCATGATCGAGAAGGGCACCTACGTCCAGCTCGCAAAGGCCAACGCCGAGGCCATCCGCGGTCTGCAGCCCAAGATTAGCGTCTGGAACACTGGTAGCCAAGGTTCTGCTGAGGGTGGTGCCAACTCTGGTATCGATACCATGCGCAACGTTTACCAGATGCTGCCTCCCCTGATGACGACCATCAACGAGCAGACTGGCATCACGCTGCCCGAGTGGCAGTTTGGCAAGATGAACGCCGGTATGCAGGCTATGCAGAGCGAGACCGGCGGCAAGGTCAACGGTTCCAAGTAAAGGGTGATTAATAGTACCACAGACACTCATTTGAACGATTGGGGTAGATCGGCGTTGGTGGCTTATGCCTGATTCACGAATTTGATGATACCATAGTAGGGATGGCCATGGTCGATTTTATAGATCTCCTTTGTGTGTATTTGTACCTTAAGATCGATAGTTAGTACTTAATGTCTCCTTGAGTCTTGAACCTGAGCAATAGCCGATGATTCCGCCCCCCCCCCCCCCCCCAAGTGAATGAAATCTAGAGAAACAGAATCCTACGTGGTCGGTGTCATGATATTCAATGACGAGTACTGCATGATATCGTCCCAGGTAGTTTGGCGTTTAGCGTCCGAGGCATAGGAAATATTTCAACATTCGGCAATGATAACCGGCTAGGCATGCAAGTTATACTACACTACACCCGTCCTATAATTCCTCAGTAGGATTTATCTATAAGGTTGCAGAAATAACCATCTCTGCAATACAAGTATTCCTGGGTACAATCCGGCAAGGGAACCGTTTCGGGTGACTCGTAAGTCCATTCGTCAACTCAACACAGGGTATAATCTCCTCTCCCCTCGGCCCTCTCACCCTCTCAATCTTGACCGTCGCCAACATCGAAGCAATCACGATCCAAACGCTCGCCTCAGCGAGGTGTTTCCCAACACAAACCCTCCTCCCAAAACCAAACTGTCCCACAGGAAACGGCTCCCCGCGGCCGCCCTGCTCAACAGGAACGTACCTCTCCGGATCAAATACCTCAGGATTAGCATACGTCCGCTCATCGTGCGTCATTGCCCGCGCGTTGGCGTATACGAACGACCCTTTCGGTATAAACATGCCATCATACACATCATCCTCGAGCGAGCGGTGCGGCACGCCGATCGGGGATACGGGGCACCACCGCAGCGTCTCCTGGACGATGTAGTCAAGGTACGGCAGCCTCGGCCTGTCCTCGAAAGAAGGCATCCTCCCGTCCCCGACGACCTCGTCCAGCATCCTCTGCGCTTTCTCCTGGACCTCGGGGTGCAGAACCATGTTGAGGACGAAGACTACCAGCGTAGACCACGTCGTATCCTGTCCCGCGGCATA